GTTCCTTAGATGTTTATGTATTGTTTCATGAGAGCCATGCAATTTCAGGGCCATTTCATGAGTGTGTTTCTTTGGGTTAAACTCAACAAGTCTTCAGAGGATCATTATCAGTTCCAACATGTCGGCCCCTACCATCATGGTTTTTAAGGCTAAAGTCACCTGAACGAATTTTGCTGAACCATCGTTGACACTTATGAACATTCAAAACATTTTCATAAACTTCTTTGATATTCTTTGTGGGTACAGAGGCATTGCTTTCCTTCTTGTATTCAAACAGCATTACATGCCAAATATGTGTTTCGTCGTGTGCCATCACTATATGGGATTAGAGTATACTAAACTTTACACATTTTATAGGCTACACTAACATGATGTTTAGGTGGTTCATTTAAAAATTATACATGATGTACGTTTTTTTTGGGGGGGGGATCTAAATAATAGATTAGAGTTTTAGAGGGCTAATAATGCTGAAATAGTCCTGGTATTTTGTAAGCCTAGCACTTTAGGCAGTTTTAGGTAAATTCTGTGTTATGTCGTTTTGTAGCTTTATTTTTAGTCACATTTTGTTCATAGGTGGTTTCTGTTTAATTCTGGTTTTGCATAAGTCTTGTGCTTTGTGTTTGTTATTATTATTGTGGTTATAATATCAGACAAAAGTTTAAATTCAGATGATGAAGTTTTACATGTATACCACCATAACATTTTCAAGTATATTATGTTCTTTTTAGATGATGGCATAATTATTTTAAAAGCAAAACAAGCAAGTGATGAAAAAAGAGCAAGAGCTCAACAACTGAAATTGCCTCCTAATTTTTACCTCTATGAAGAAAAGTCACCGTGTCCAGGTTGTCGTGGATGTGACAAAGAAGAAGAATTTGAACAAATTAAGGAAGGTATAGCAGCAGCTATATGTATTTGTATTATATTGCTCATTATTTTTATATGAAATAGAATATTTATTTTAAAAAATTGTCATGTTTTAATGTAGCTTGAATTTCATTTGTAATGTTCCAAAGTATCAGTAGAATGGTTTGGCAAGTCAGTTTACAGTATATAGATAGTCTCATTTTTTGGTGTTTTTTTCTGGATGAATTTGGGTCAATGTACATCCTGAACATATAGTCACATATATATATTAAAAAAAAGTAACAAGTGGAAATACAGCACTGAAAACTAATTTAATTTTTATTATCCTATTACACAAGATCCAAAAGGGTAAACTAATTTATCAAGACCTATTTTGTGTTTAGAGTAAGTAACGTGACAGCAATTGTTTTCTTAATTCTCTTCACTGATTTTGTAAATAATTTCATATTTGTGTTTTAAATGAATAAAGTAGGGATACTGCTTGATATATACAGTGTGTTTTTAGGTATACAGTAAAAAAAAAATAACAAAATGAAATACAGCACAGAATAATGTTTTTATTAATACTCTTCATCCCACAAGAAGAAAAATATGAAGTGTAATGATGTATAAAGACATCAGTAAAGTTGAAAGATTGATTTTTGTTCTTAGTGATAGTTATTGGATTTCCTCTTTTGTATTATATAGATAGTGTATTTATTGTGTGTTATAGAGCCTGTGCTAATAACATATGAAAAGAAACCTACAAAGGATCAAATTCAACTAGCAGAGAAATTGAAACTACCTCCAACATTTTTTATGTATGAAGACAAGCCACCCTGCCCAGGATGTAGAGGGTGTATTGATAATGGTAAACACTCTGTCTTGTTTTTACTTTTTCACTTAAACTCAGATGTGAATATAGATTTTCATAAAATCCCAAAAGCTATATTTAAACATATGAACAAATCTTGTATGAATTTTATGAAGATGTATATTTTGTACACTTTCCATAAATACTTGTGTTTAAAAAAATTAAATATGTTTTCCAAAATTTTAACAGTCTTTTGATTGTAAATTCATGTAAATAGCACTTCTAGTAGAATACTTAATGCATAATTCTGTAATGTTTATTTTTGTCTCCAAGTGTTAGCAGCATTTCCACTGTGTAGCTGTGTTAAATAAGAAAATGGTTCAGAACAAATGAAACGGAGATTGATCAAATTTGAGATACTTATTACTATATATTCTAGCAAGGCTGAATTCTTCATAAATGTAACCTACTTTGTGATACATGGGTGATGCATAAACATGGGCTACTTGTTATTTTACTCAGTGCATGTGCCATGTAGTATGCCAGATTTGATAGTGGTGATAACTCTATAATTGTTTTTGTTTTGTATGTTGTAAAATGTAATTGTCTTTTAAAGTGTTTAGTATGTTTTTAGCCACATATTTGCTATAACTCAGTGCTGACAAAACCATATGACTCATTTCTGAAATTTTGCATACAAACTAAACATGTGAGATAGTATAGTTAGTTAATATATAAAATTGATTCCCAGAAACTATGTGTAGTTTAATTGCTAGAAAACAAAAATTATCGATCTGTTGTTGAATTAGTAGAATACACATGGGTCAAATCTGAATCACATTGTTCTTTCAACCTTCCCATGTACCATGTTTATGATTGGCCAAATATCAGGGTATTCAACCAATGACATGTGAGTATCTGATAAGATATTTGAGTGTTGGTAAAGTGAAATTTGATTGCCTGACCATGTGATGATATCCAATTGCTTGGGCCTGGACTGGAGCTCTCAGTATTATTGGAAGTGTTTTAGTTTTCTCATTTTAACCTATTAATTTTTCTTCTAATATTTGATTAAAAACAACTTTATACTTACACACAGAAAAAAAATTATTTGCTTGTACAGTATTTTTTATATTGAAAGTCTTCTTTCTGGTTTCAGAAAATCAAGAGGAAACTGATACAGTTCAGTCTGATGTAAAGTCAAGAGCAGTTACTAGTAAATCCCCAATCACCTCCTCTGTTATTAGTGATAATGAGCAAGCCTTAACTGTATTTTCTTCTGAAAGAAAAGACGAAAAAATACAAGAGACTTCAGAAGCAGCTACGTCATCTAGCCAGACAAAAAGTACTTTCTTAAGCACTGATTCATCTGTTTTTGGTGCTAACTTGGTTACATCTAACTTCTCATTTGAAGCCTTAGCAGCACAATCTTCTACATCTAACAGTGCTGCTGGATCTGCTCTAAAAACTAAAGGAGATAACTGTTTTGCATTTACTGGAGCTGGGAAACCATTGTTTGTTGATGTAAAAAATCAGGATTTTGCAGCTGGAAGTGAACAAAGTAAGAAGAAATGAGATTTGATTTTATATTAAAGAAATTGTTATAAATCAGCTTATTTTATGCTGTTGGTTAATAACACAAGCATTGAAGAGGAGCATTCCTTCTTCCTGCTGTATTTCTTGTTGGTGTTCTTATTGGTATTTATCCTTTTTTACTATAGTTTCAAACCTCTGCTATTTCTACCTTTTTGTGCCCTGTATTGCAGCTGTAATAAATAACCTTGAGAAATTAAAAACTTTGGGCTTAACAAAAATTCAAGTTTTAGCTCCTTGATGAACCCTATTTTGATGTTTTCAAGTTAAAATGTGTCATTATTTAAAATAATATATATAAATACACTGTTCTTTTAGTGATATTTTTTGGTCTTGGTGGGATTGTGTGTGTGAGATTTTAAAGAAACGTTAATCGTAATTTACCTGTTTAAAGGAGGTGCATTAGTACAGGTCAATTTATCATTAAGGGAAAGCTCACAAGTGATGTATAATTCTTTTTCATAATGTTTAACCTGATGCCTAATCAATATGTTCATGTTTTTGCCTTAGGTAGTCAGATCAAGGAAATACATTTCCTTATAAATGCTTCAGAGTATCATATGATACTCATTGTGTCTGCAGATTCCAGACAGGGGAGGTTCCTGATTTTTTGCTAATATTTGGTCAGAAGCTCTTGAATTTTGAATTTCAAGTGATTGTGTTTACAAAACACTGCACAAAATCACTATAGAGCATTTAATAACCCAGATCGTTAAAGGCCTTGGTCAGGCCCCAACCTCTGACAATGAGTGTAGCACCTTTCTTATTAAATGGAGACTATTTTTAACATATATTGAATATGAATGCTGTGGGATCTCTTTTGGTTTTGTTTATGCTGTGCTTATAGATAGCAAGAGTACCTATTTGCAAAATTTTAGAACACAAATGTTTTATTAGATATATTTTTACCATAAAAATGTGGACTATTGAAATTATACTAAATTGTGAAAGTAAATAAGAATGTATAACAACATACTGTCCACTATATCTACTATGTTCAGTAGTGACAAGCCCTTTTGCCCAATACCAGCTCTCTTTGATAGGCTGGGATATGACAGATGTTGTGGTTAAGAACTTGAGACACTATTAACAAATGTTAAGTGTGTTGATAAAAAAGTGGTGTAAGAATGGCTGTAAGGGGTAGAAGAAGCCATGAAACTTTATATAATTGTGTTTATACAATTTAAATAATATTTTAAAATGTTCCTGATCTTTCATTCTTGACACCTAAGTTTAACCCTGTCTTGTTCCTTATTTTCTGTCATGCAAAGTGTGTAGAAACACTGTAAAATATTACAAAGTCACCCATGAAGAAAAGTCTACATGTGAAAAATGCATAGGTTCTTTGATTATTTGATTTTTTTTATTATGCTTATCATAGACTACATCTTTGTTGGTATGTGTTTTAATTTTAAAAGTACCATAAAGCAGTGTTGATACTGGAAAGGTTGCATGAAACAGATGAGTAATGTAACATGACAGTAAAAGATACATCACAGATTGTAGAATGTAAAAATATAATTTTTTGAATTTGTAGTACCTTTACCTCAAGCTTATTTCATTATCTCTGGGAATTTATGTAACTTATTCCAAAATGACAAAGACTAAACTAGAAGTGCATATTCTGCTAAATGTATTAATCATTACTATATCAATTAAACAAAAATAAACATTGAGAAAATAGTGATGTAACATGAAAAATAATTGAATCTGGGGTACAGTAATAGCCTGTTTTTCATTAGGCGGTGAGCATTAACCACATTATTACAGAAAGGTATGCTAATGCTACCAGCAGATATTTGCATAATTGTTTGCCTGAAACTTCTCTGAAGTATATTCAACCGAACATTTCATTTTAATGTGGTTTAACATTGTTCCTGTACTGTCCCTGTAACCAAGCTCTGTAGATCACAGCCTACATTTTTACTTTTTTGGTCTCTCTTTGCATTAAAATATGCCTATTTCGAGCACCCCAAGACAACATGGTTGTAGCCTTGTTGGTTTCACATCATTTTATTGTGTATCAACACAGCTGGCAATGTGTCAAAAAAGTAGTTCTAGTTAAAAGTAATTAAACTATTATTTCTGACATTAATTGCTGTATTTTGAAAACTCAAATTGTCTTTGGGTGTTTTTATTTTGTTTATTTATATATATATGATATTTATAACCATAACTTCATGTATTTTCTTGACTGTCATTGCCTTTAAACAGTTTAATAGTAATATATATTTGTTAAATATATATAATTTATTAGTAATAATAATAATAAGTATAGAGATATGGGGAATTTGTTTAAACTGAGTGGCAGCATGAATTTTTTTTACAAAAGCAAGGTAATAATCTGGTATTATTGCCACTTAACAAAAAATAGGAAGTAAAGAACAAAAGAAAATCTCTGGCTAACCCATAATATTTGATGTGGACATTTCTAACGTTTAATAGATTAAGCAAAATTAAAAATGTTTAAAGCTTGGCTAATGTTTAAATTTTGATCTGTTAAACTGAATGTCTATTATAGCTTGTGAGCCTGAAATGAGAAAATAGTCTATGTGAAAAATTATTTTTTTTAATGCAATTCCAATAGATTTTAATGGTGATGTTATTTCTGTCATGTCAGTACAAGCTACTCATTTCTGTCTTTTCAATGTTTCTTTAGAAGTGGTTTGAATTTCACTCTAAGTATAATATTGTGCATGATCTCATTACATACTACTGAAACATGCAGGGATGTAGAAAAAAAATTTGAAAATCTGGTACTTATTACTTGTTTTAATGCATAAAAGTTAAAATAAATTATGATTTTTGCATGCTATAATTCAGTAACCAAAAGAGACTTATTGTGAATAAAATAAAACTTCTGACCAAAGATACTCATTGTTATAATAAAATTATATGTAAAAAACTGGAATTATTAAAAAAAATTAATATTCCCTTTGTAGATGATGTGTTTCTTTTTTATATGCTCCTCCACCCACAGAAGCTCGGCAGCAAGTCTGAAGACTTGTAATGTTAAAAACCGGGTTTCAATATCTATGGTGGACACAGCACAAGTAACCTGTTGTGTAGCTTTGGGCTTAAACAGGATTGGAAATTTTGTTTTTAGTTTATCATATGTATGTCAGTAGTGAAATTAATTTCAACTGCATATTATTGACTGTCAAATGCATCATGATGTTAAAGAACTTTACACAATTTGTTTGGTTTGGTCATTAGAGGAAAGGAATTTGTTTTAATCATTTATACTGTAAATATTTTATTATGTATGTTGAAAACTTCACTGAAAATTTGATTCTTGTTTCCCCTTCAGGTGATACACAGGTTGTGCCAAGTCAAGAAATCCATTTTGAGCCTGTGATCCCACTTCCTGAATTAGTGGAAACCAAAACTGGGGAAGAAGAAGAGTTGCCAGTGTTCTGCCACCGAGCTAAGCTTTACAGATTTGACAAAAATGTCCAGCAGTGGAAGGAGAGGGGTGTGGGAGATTTCAAAATACTTAAACACAAAAATCAGTGTAAGTAGGCTTGGGTATACACTAAGAATGAATGTGTTTGCACTGTTGTAAAAAACAAGTTTATAAAAAATATTTTCTTAAATTATCAATAAATGATGTAGATCAGTAGGTATCCAGATAAAGGTTATGAGATAATGTATTTGCTATTTAAAGGTTTACAATGGTCCCCTAATTATTTCAGCTTATTTTAAATTAGATACGTGAATTTTTTTATATACATTTACTTTGTTAATTTTTAGTTTCTGGTGGTTTTTGAAATACCTTATCTTACACATAACTTTAAGTGTCTTTAACTGTGGACTAGTCGAAGTACACGTCACAACTTTTTACAGAATTATATTCAAAATTAAAATACTTTATTATCAGTGTATACAAATAAACTTTTCATCAAACATAGTTAATAAATCAACAAATGTTAATATTACATAAATTTTAATTTCTGAATTTTAAAATGAATCCTCGATCTCCCTTTGTATGAAAATTGTAAAATTTATTCACTTCATTTTACCATTCTAATATTTTTAACACCACTCTCTGATGTACCAAGTTTAACATAAATTACTGATTATAATATAGATATAACTATGGCAAAGTCTAATTTTTTATAGCCTTCAATTTTTAAAGACTGACCCACTTGTCATGTCCTCTTCCTGCATCCTTTTTTCTTTACCAATCATCAATAATTCTCTCTGACATTTTCTATTATATTGTGTATAACCAAAAGAAAGACAAAATTTTATTTTATTGATTCACATATATTGTTTTTGTTCTCGGTAGACTGTTTTAGTTACTTCATCTTCAGATCAAAAGTTTCTCTTGTGGAGTTTAGAATGAGTAACTAAGGGAATTATTTTAAGGCACTTTTGCCTTCAAAAGCCAATTAAATTATATTAGTTATAGGACATTGTTTGCCTTATTATTCTGTGTTTTTATGTGCATTCTTTAAATAAAGACAAATTATTTGATGTGATAGTATCATCACTACAAAAAAGTAGGCTTAAATTTCATTGGCTATTGACAGCAAAAAAAATGAGGTCAAACATAAGTACTAAGTTTCTTGTTGATCACGTTTATTGTTTGGTTATTGTTATAAAAGTAATTACAATGTAAAAATTAGAAATTTATTACAGTAAAGTTAGATTACGTAGGGTAATAAAAATACAAAATTCTCCATGAGGTATGCTTGTATCATGTACATTACATCATTCAGTATTGTAACTTGAACTACACATTTACCAAGTGATTTAAAGCTTGTAAAATGGTATTATTAGTTAGACATGGTTCAGAGGCAATAAAACAATAGCAATAGACTGTTATGAGCCATAAGCTATTTAGGAATATACGATTGTAGTTTTGTATTATAATCTGCAGTCATTCTAAGAGGGAAAAAAGGGTAATTTAGATTTATTTCGTTTTTTTTTGTGGTGGTTACAATGTCATTCAAATTGACCAGTCTGCATAAGGATAGCGAGGAGAAGATAAAACATAAAGTTATGCTGAAAACAAATATTTGATAATGATCAGATATTCATTTAGGAAGTTTTATATGTTATACAACTGAAATTCAAACTTTAAGATGAATACAAGTATTTTTATCCTTAACATGAAAATCGCCTTGCACTCAAAACAGTCAATACTATGACTCCATATGTTCATAGACAAATCTTTAGTAAACATTCAGATTTTTTGTGTACAAAAGACTTGTAATGTTTCCTAAATGCTTGCTCTCACAATTTTTTTGTCTTTACAAGGTTGGTCAAAATGAATGAGCCCAGAGGAAAGAGTTAATGAATTTGATATATCTTCTTTCAGGTCGATTCAGACTTATCTTACGTCGACAGCAGGTCCACAAAATAGCCTGTAATCACTATATTACTGCTGATATGAAGTTGAAACCCATGCCCACTACTGAAAATGCAGTTTGCTGGACAGCTGTAGATTTTGCAGAAGAACAGTCAGTGTCAGAACTTTTAGCTGTTCGATTTAAGGTAAATTTCATACTACAAATCACAAATGTTGTTTTGGTTAAATATTGAAACATTTAAATATATAGTTAATTGTTTGAATACACTTAACAATTTGGTTGTGTTCACTTCTAGACAAAAGAGTTAGTAGAAGAGTTCAAGGAGAAGTTTGAAGAATGTAGAAAAGCTGTTGAAATGAAAACAGGTGATACAAAAGAGTCTCTACCAGGTTAGTAGTAAATTGTATGCTAAGAGGCCTCAAAATTAATGTGTCATAACTAATGATATATTTTCAAATCTCTTATTTGGAGGGTGTAATGGATTATTTTATAGAGTGTTACTGAAAGCATGTAGGTTTAACCTGCCCTTGCTTAGTGAGATTAATCAATTTATACCATGGCATTAGTAGATTTAAGTTAGGTGTAAATTGGTACACTGTTAGATAAGTTGGTATAAACAATCAAATTTGTGGCTATTTTAATAATAATCCCCCTCAAGGTGGATTCCTGTACATGGAGAGGGTACCTTCCAGGGAAGGTTCTATATCTTCTGTTTACCTCTTCTGGGATCCAAACATCTACCCATGTGTTTCATGTGTATGGTATCCCATGAAGGGAAGAAGAGGATCTTGGTGGTTGAGGGGTGTCATCTTGATGGGTGAGTTATATCAGGGGCACTTCGACATATCACTTTGGCTTTGAGTTCTTGTAAACGGGTGGCTCTTCCAGGGTTAGCTAAGTGATAGTGTTGGATGTTCTCATATACCCACCATGACCGTGACACTCAATATGCCCTTGGAAACCATGGTCGTCGAATCTCTGTGTGTTGTACTATTACTGTATGTTCTTTTTTTACCTGTCACTGGGAGAGATTTATCATCAGTTAGACTTTGATGATCTTATTGACCAGCTGCTGCCTCCTTTCTTCATCTTGGAAGATTTTAATGGACACAGTCCCCTCTGGGTGGGTGCTGGTATTGATGGGAGGGATTGTTCTGTGGAGTGTATGCTCTCGGATCATAACCATTCTCTCTTCAATACTGGTTCATTTACCTATTTTCATGCACCTAGTCATTCTTTTACTGCTATTGATCTATCCATTTGTTCCCCTTCACTTTTTCTCATTGTTTCTTGGAGGGTTGACAGTGACTCATAAGGCAGTGATCCTTTTCCTATAATTTTGTTGGAGGTTGGCTGCAGTCATTGCCACAGTGGAAGTTGGAGCATGCTGACTGGCTCTCCTTCACCACTTTCTCAAAACTCTCCTGCTGTTGCTAGTCTTCCATCTGTTAACGACTGCATAGAGAAAGTAACTGATTGTATTATTCAAGCAGCTGTCCCCAAAACCTCGACACATTTTCCATGGTATACTCATCCATGGTGGTCTTCTGCCTGCCAGCAGGCACTGAAGGCTCAGAAATGGACCTGGGATATCTTTTGCAGGCATCTCATTTTACCGTCCGCATTGCTTTCCAGCTGGCTCGTGCCCATGCCCGACTGATCAGGCATCAAAGCCAGAAAGAATCCCGGATTAAGTTTACAACCAGCATCTCTTCTATCACCAGTTCCAAAGTTGTCTGGGACAAGATTCAGAAGGTCAGTGGGAAATATGCTTCCCATTGCCAATACTCATGCTTTCTTGGCCATCAAGTCTCAGGCTGAGAGGTTGCCATTTTCCTTTGGGGCAGATTGTCTCTATGATTATAATCACCCATTTACATTGGTGTAATTTAAGCTTGCTCTTCATCGGTCTCGCTGATGATGTTCACTATGAGATGCTGTGCCATCTCTCCCTTGCCTCTCTTGCTTTTCTTCTGGTTGTTTTTAACTGGATTTGGCAGGAGAATGTTTATCCAGATGCTTGGTGCTAGGCTATTGTTCTCTCTTTTTCAAAGCCTGGGAAGGATATCAAGATTCCTTCTAATTATTGTTCAATTGCTTTGACTAGCTGTCTCTGTAAGGTTTTTCAGAAGATAGTTAATGCACGTCTTATTTGGTTCCTTGAATTAAAGAATCTCCTCTTGGCCACCCAATGTGATTTTCATTGACAGTGCTCCACTGTGGATCACCTGGTTTGTCTTGAAACCTTGATCAGAGAAGCCTTCCTTAAGAGAGAACATGTTCTTTCGATCAGCTTTGATCTTGAGAAGGCTTATGACACTACTTGGAGGTTTGGCATTCATATGGGTTGCATGACCATTTACCCATTTTTATTCAAAACTTTTAATCAAGTGGAATTTCCAAGTCTGTGTGGGTTTGACCCTGTCCCAATCCTTCAAAATGTGTCTTGAGTGTCCCACTTTTCAATATTAAGATCAATGCTATCACTCTACAATTTCCTCCTACTGTTGCAAATGGCCTCTATGTTGTGGACTTCCACATTTCTTGTCAGTTATGAAACATGAGGTTTATTGAGTGGCAGCTTTAGACTGCTCTCACTTACTTGTTGAGGTGGACTAGGGCAAATGGTTTCACCTTCTTTTCTTCTAAGATCATTTGTGTCCATTTTGCTGCCAGGGGGTTTGCATCCTGATCCAGAGCTCCATCTCGGTGGTAATGTTCTTCCTGTGCAGGCTGAGACAAAGTTCCTGGGACTTATCTTTGACCATAAGCTTACTTTCATTCCTCACATTAAGCAGCTTCATGTCAAGTGTACAAGGGCACTGAACATCTTCCGTGTCCTCTCTTCCATCTCCTGGGGAGTGGATAGATGTTCAGTGCTCAAGATCTATTGTGTTTCCATATGATCCAAACTGGACTATGGGTTTATGTTCTTTGGTTCAGCCAGTGCCTCGGCCTTGAAGGTGTTGGATTCTGTGCACCATCTGGGTTTGATTATGGACAGGAACTTCCCACACTTCACCAGTCTAGAGTCTGTACACTGAGTCTCATGAACTTCTCTTTCAACTCTGACATTTGCAAATTTCTTTGCAATACACTACCAAGCTTTGATCCTTCCCACAGCATATCACCTGGGGTTGATTCTTCTTTCCTTCTTGGCCTTTGCTTTTTCAGAATTGGCAGCTAGCCATTTCTCCATTTAGCCTTTGTATCCAGGCACAGCTGGCTGATTTGGGTATGTCATTGGATGCTATTGCTGAATCACTCCATTCTTCCATGGCTTGTTCCCATTCCCATCTGTGACCTTTCTTTGAGTCATCCAAGCAAATCAGATACTCCTGATTTGAAGTACCATCTTCTCTTTGCCAAACATCTTTTGAACCATTCTTCTGTTCCCGTTGTTACGAATGATTCAAAATCAGCTGACTCTATGGGTTCTGCCATGGTTTGTTGTGGCTCGGTGGTTGCTCACAGGATCCACTCTATAGTTTGTGTGTTTACTGCCAAGTTGTATGCCATTTCTCTTCCCCTAGATCACCTAGAAGCTAAGCAGTATATCAAGTCTCTTAGCTCTCTAATGGCCTTGGAATTGTTTCACATGAGTTCTCACCCTGTTCTCATCGGTATTCAGAAATGACTGACCCACTTTTCTCTGTCTTCTGTTTATATCAAATTTTTCTGGATACCTGGCCATGTTAGTATTCCTGGGAATAAGCTTGCTGATACCGCAACTAAGTCCATCTGCTCTGGTGTTGTCACAACTGTACCTGTTCCATATCTGGACTATTGTCCTATGATCAAGGCACAGCTTCATGCCAGTTGGCAGTCGATTTGGGGTGAGTAACTTCATTACAAGCTTTTCTAGATCAAACCTACAGTTGTTGTTTGGCCATCTAGCTTCCGTAAGGATCGGAGGGAGAAAGTTGTCTTGTATAGGCTATGCATTGGTCACAGTTTTTTAACTTGTCATTTTCTTTTATGTTGGACTAATCCACCAATATGTGTCCTTTATGACACTTAGGTCACTATTGCCAATGTTTTACTTTCATGCCGTCTTTACGAATATGAGTGGCAGCATTATTTTAGGCAGGTTTTTTTTCTCGGGTTTACTCCTGATATTGGACACTGTCATTGGTGATGGTAATGCTATCCAGTTTGATTGTGTTTTTAGGTTTATAAATTTTCTTCCTGATTTTTGGACTTTTTTAAGTTTTTAACTTGAATTGTGTTAACTGTTTATAGTATATTACTTTTTGTTTATATACTGGTTGTTTGGTGCAGATAACTCTGTTGCTTTGTGCCAATAAAACTCCAAACAACCAAACCAATTAATAATAATTATCCAGTTTATGTAAAATAAAGCAAAGTTGGATATTACATATTTAGCCAGTATAAAAGACACATTTACCAATTATTTTGATAAAGTAGTCCAATAAACTGTGTTTTTGGTTAGCATTGATTTTTATTGAAACAATTAAATTTTAGTAGAGGCTGTATCTAGCAGAGAAGTTGAGCACTTGTGGCACCAGAAGTGATTAGTTTGTTGTATTCTCATGGTTATGAAACTAATTTTTAGATTTAAGAAAAAATGTGTTATAAAGCATCAAACAATTAAATATCCATGCTATAGGAACCTATCTTATTATGATTAGCTACTGTGTAAGTTCTGCTTTATCCAGACTTGTAACTAGGAAGAAAAAACTTAGTGTATTCCTAGAATGGAGAATTCAAGCAGTTGACCCTAAATGTTTGCAGATCTACAGTAATAGAAATAATTATGAAAATACATAAATTATAAACATATGTGTTACTAACAACAAGTGATGACAGCTAGATGGTGAATGTATTAATGATACAAAACTATCACAGAAAATACAATCACCTAAACAGTGCACAAGTATTTTGCTATGAGCCCTTTGCTATTCAGGGAGAATTAAATCTTATTTTCATCTTGCCATACATTTTTTCAGTGTGCACTTATCACTAATCATGGTAGTGATTTAGTATGTAGGGATTGGTTCGAAAAAATGTGCCGACGCATATTATGTATTGCTTATTATAGTCTCAAATCTCTTATAACAATCTAAGAGTCTTTTATAAACATCTAACTTAGGTTTTCAGGATTTTCAAAGCTATTAAGATCTTCAGTTTAGCCAAAACACATTGCTAAAATAGAGAACTGGTAAGTAACATAAAATCCAAATGTTGTGATGATTTACATACCAAAATGTTGCATTTTAACTTGGGGAGTGTAGAAGTAGTATAGTGTTTCACTAACTTCAACATATGATGTCCATCAAGACAACTCATCACACCAGGCTAAATCTGGTGCCTTCATTACAAAATATTCATTGGTATTGTTAAAAAAAAGAAAAAAAAGGGGAAACAAGTAACAAGTATGATGTAGGAATGGCAGTGCCAGAAAGTACAGAAACAAGGTAGGGATGAATCATACAAAATTCCCTATATAAGTAGCCAATAAGTACTGAGTCAATCTTGCGAGTTTATGGCTGTTAGCCACTGTAAGACTGCTTAGCACTATTCAGTTTAAATACTTTTATTCAAACCTGAATTCATGCTACTGACAGGAATTCAATATTTAGTTATTCTTGGAAAGATTTGGCTACTTCTATATTGGTTTTGTATACTCATCCCTACCTTGTTTATGTGCTTTTTGGCATTGCCATTCCTACATCATCTTTATTGTTTTTAAATTTTTTTATTACCTGTAGAATATTGATCCAAATATTCTTATTACTCTCTACAACTCAGCCATATTGTTTTATCATCTTCTTACCATATAATTTTTTATAATATCCCATACAGCCTCAAGAATGTTCTTGTTAGAACTGTGTAGATTAAGCCATGGTCATGAGTGTTCTATCAGCTTCTTTATTGTCAAGATATCATTTCACCACATTTATTGTATACTTAGGATCATTGACTAGCTGGAAGGTGAATTATTTTGTGATAGTCATA